TAGAGAAACTCCCACACCAGTATTTTGTATTTTTATATACATCAAATTTATTTATATTTTTATATATGTTAGAGAGTTCATATTTTATCTTTGCATACGTACATAGTTGTCATTGTATTTCTAAATACACACAGTTGAAAATAAAGTTTTAGAGCTATTCTTTATACAACATTTATTTACACTACTTTATATTGAGATCAATTGAGTCAGTTGAGTTAAGTAAAGCCTAGGTAAGTGTTTCTTTCACATTCTTTCCAAGCCTATGTTATGTTGAGAATTTCAACTCCCATACTCGTACATTCAATGTACTAATGCCTGTTGGCCTGCATCATCTTATGATGTAGACGCAGATTACCAGGCTCAGCAAGCAGCACATTGTTGATCATGTGAGCACTCTAGAGTGAGTTGGTGAGCCTCCTTGCATTCCGTAGTATTCATTTTTATTTCTTCAAGTTATTATATTAGTTATTTAGGATGTTGTGGGACTCGTGCCAATGTCCATCTCAGTCGTTTTAGAGGCTTTATAGACAGTCAATCAAATGTTAGTACGTTTATCATTATATTGTTATTGGTTTATCTTCATATTTGTGTTGCCACTTTGGCTAAATTAAATTTTTATTTTTTTAAAACATTAAGAATTTAGTTGAGATAGTTATGTTATTTAGCATTTAAATCATTTTCTTTATTCTTAAAGTCTACCGCTAACTAAGTTAGCCAGGACAAGGATTCGCTTGGGGCAAATAATGGTTCTCGAGTATCGGCCACGCCTGAGATATAGGCTCGGGGCGTGACTTGGTATGAATGTCATTCTATTATAAAATATTAGATACCTATGACTGGAGATTTATTTACAACAATATTTTATGATTGTCATTTTGATGAATCTGAATAGCAAACATTAGGGGAAAACATAAGCAATTGAAAAAAGAGATAAAATGAAATGCAATAACACTATCTCATTTAAATCCTCAAGAAAATCAATGTGAACAAGAGGTTCATAAGATGATTTATTTGAAAAATATTACAAATCAATTGCCAGATGCATTTACTAATATTCCAAGGGTTACTAAATCTCATATTCCACTGCAAATGCTCTACTTCTAGTTGATGTTCTGATAGAATAAACTGCTCATACAAACGAGTCTAGACCACATCTTAAATGTGGTAGACCATTTGATTCTAAGGATAAAAATTCTTGAAAAGGAAAAAGGAGAAAATGATTATAATATGAAAGTGAGTGCTGAAGGAGAGCCTCAAGACCTAACAAATGATGAAACAACAGAAAATGTTGAGATATATGAAAATAATGAAAATAAAGATATCTCAATAAGTTATGTCACGACAGCAAAAAGGTGGAAGTGAAATGATGTTGTGGTTGATAACATTTTTGCTTATAATGTTGTCTAAAAAATTATGCAATAAGATGAGGATCATGAACCAAAACCTATAAATAAATGTAGACAGAGAAATGAATGGCTAAAATGGAAGGACACCATTCAAGAAGACTTGAATTCACTTGAAACACGTGATATTTTTGGATAAATAATTCAAACACTTGAAGCTGTCAAGCTAGTGAATGCAAATAGGTTTTTGTGCGAAAATAGTGATGTCGTAAGATATAAAGCATAACTTGTGGATCAAGGATTTTTGCAAAGGCCCGATATTAACTATGTATAAACATTTCTACTGTAGTTGATGTAATTACCTTCAAGTATTTAATGAACTTGGCAGTTCATAAAAATCTTGAAATGCACCTAATGGATGTGGTCACTATCTATTTATATGGATCATTTGAGAATGACATATTTATAAAAATTCCTGAAAAATTCAAAGTGCCTAAAACATACAAAGATTTTTGAGAAATATGATCAATAAAGCTTTAGAAGTTTTTTACGAATTGAAATAGTCAGGACGAATGTTGTATAATTGCCCTAGCCAATATTTGCTAAAAGGAGGATTTAAAAATGATCCAATTTGTCCTTCTGTCTTCATGATAATGTCAGAATTTGAATTTGTCATAAATGTTGTATATGTTGATGATTTGAATATCATTGGGACTTCTGAGGAGCTTTCAAAGACACTAAAATGTCTGAAAATGAATTTCAAATGAAACACCACTTAAAGATAAAATTTTGTCTTGGGCTACAAATTGAACATTTATTTGTTCATCTATCAACATATAGTGAAAATATATTAAAGAGATTTTACATAGATAATTAAGATCCATTTCAACTTCATGAAAATGAAGGAGAACTTGTTGGTGCTGAAATACCATATATTAGTGCAATTGGTGCATTAATATATCTTGATAATAATTCTAAACCAGATATAGTTTTCTCGATAAGTTTTTTAGCAAGGTTCAGTTCTTCTCCAACACGAAGACACTAAAATGGAATTAAACATATATTTAGATATCTCCGAGGGGCTATTGATACATGATTGTTTTATTCAAATGAATTCAAGTCGAAATTGATTGGTTATGCATATACATGATATTTTTCTGATCCCCATAAAGTTCGTTGGCAGACATGTTATTTATTTACATGTGTTGGTACATCTATTTCATGGCAATTGACAAACAAACAATGATTGTCATTTCTTTAAATCATGTTGAGTTAATAACCATTCATGAAGAAAGTAGAAAATGCGTTTGATTGAGATCAATAAATCAATACATCCAAAAAACATGTGACTGTCGTGCCCCATTTTTCTCAAAATGGATTTTGACCTAACTACTCTTTTGAGATTTTGGATTGATTGAAGAGTCGCCACCTAACGAATTAAGCGTGTTAGCGAACCTATCTAACCTAGCTAAATCTAACTAAGGTCAACGAACTAGAGATCAGGGTAAGGGTTCAAATTACCTTGAGGGAAAGGTGTTAGACATCCCTCGAGGTTCAAAAATGTGGGTCCCGGTCGTATCTCATGCAATTTATGTGGAGTTACAAGTATCTTAGGTAATTAACATTGCGAAATAGGTGATAACATAATATTACTAATAAAGATCACATTATTATTTAGAATTAATTATTTAAACATGTGAGACTAGGTTATAACATAAATGAACACTAAACAAATTATACAAGATAAGCGAGAAGACAGAAATTGCACAATTAAATATAAAAGACAATTTTCATTTATTTACTAATCCACCCAAACATATATAACTATAAACAAGTAAAGAGACAAAATGAAAGGGAGACACTGAGAGACTTTACGGATCAACACGCGATTTTGTTTTTATTCTTAGATAGACTTTCGTGTAGGGACAGACAAAATCAAGATTTGTCTTTTTAATCCTGAGTCGATGTCATCATCTCCGTAAGGCCCAACTACACAACCACATACATTTCGTCCTACTTAATGTCCAAAAGGCATTAGGCGACCGTTAGGATGGTTTTAGACTAAAATAAAATATATGCTTCTAAATAGTCCCACCTAGACACCATGCAAAACACATTGAACAACATTTAATACATAAAGTCTCATGTTAGCCTCTAAGTTTTATTAATCATGCTAGCAAAACACAAGTAAAGTGAAAGGTCTCATGCAAACATGTGAGCATACAAATTAATAACAATTAAATTATTTAATTTAAAGGACAACAAATTATTCCAAGGCAAATTTTATTGAACTATTAGGCAGATTCGAATTAGCTAGAAATATATGGGCAGAAACATGTAAAAGCACTGGAAGATTTTATTTAATGTTAGCACAAATGGTTGAGAACTAAGGCATGAATATTTAAACTGGGGCAAATTAATTTTTCAACATGCTGAAAGCAATAGTTAGTTTTTTTTTTTTGCAGGAAAAGTGAGTACATGCATAAAATTATTTCATCATGCAGATTAGTGAAGAGCACATTTAATTTTAGATAGTTAAAAATTATCATGATGGAAAATTAATTAATTTATTTATTATTAGAGGGACAGAAAGTAATTAAATCGCAGAAGTCGTTGGTAGTGCCAGAAATATTTGCAGACTTATCTCATTTTTTAAACATGCTAGAGGTTTTTTAGTGATTAAATCCTATGAGCATCATGTCTAGGTTGTTGAAAAGCCCAAATATTGTGTAGCACCTATATACATGATTTTTTTTACCCCAAATAACATATAAAATGAAATTAATCCGTATGACATTAATATCAACTAAATTATAGACATGATTTCTACCAAATATATTTTAGTATATATAGAGTTAGAGTTAATAGTTTATACAAATTATCACAAAATAACAATTATATACAAAACATAAATCAAGTAAATCCGGCTCGTCTAGCGTTTCACTCTCCGTACGACTCTTTTTAATCTTGAATCTTTAGATCAAGATGATGCTAAAATAGAAGAACAATACAACCAGATACATATAAAAGCAAATTTGCATAATAAAATATTATTCACATACATGTTGATCCACAATCAATTAAACAAACCACACAAAATACATGATCACATACAAGAGAGAGTTGAACAGAAACTATCCCGGACGGTTCCCTTTTATTTATTCCTACACAAATTCAAAATAACAGATGCAAGGTAAAATTTAAACTAATGAAGTATAACTAACCGATTATGTAGAAATTTTATCAGCAATGGAGTGTTTTAAAGAGATATTCACCGAAATAACAATACAACAATCAATACACAAAGAATGATTTGCCAAAATTCTTGTTCTTTTTTTTTTCTAAAAGAAAAGAGAGTAATTTTTAGTATTGTTAAAGTGTGTAAGCCTTGAAGTCTGACGGAATTCTAAAAGTTTTTTTTGAGTGAATAGGAAGCCCTTTCTTATATATTAGTGTCAAATAAAAGGAAGGACATATTTTAGGGATCAATATAATACTATTTTCCTCAATCACAAGGCAACAAAAATCAATTTTTTTTAATTTTATTTATTCTTACAAATATATAAGGTATGAAATCATTATTGACACTAATCAATTAATTAGACAAATTTCCGCCTTCGCAAAATCAATTATTAATCAATATTGTAAACAACAACAACCCTAAATTGATAAAGCATACCGCTAAAATAAAGTTACACAATCAACCAAGAGCAATATTCTTACTTCTCTACAAAATCAATTCTATATACTTACCGTAATTAGGCGAATGAACAAATTGACAAGAAAACAACCAACTCAAACTTATAGCAAAATGGAATAAACAAGTACTCAATTCAACAATCAGAGGAATCCATCAACAAATAAAAAATTAGACAATATCATTAATACAATTAAATCAATATATCGGCAAATATTAAGATATCAATTATAGTGAGGATTATCCATTCCATCAGTGCAAAATTTAAAAGAAACAAGCTAAAGCCAATGTTAATATTAGCGCAGTTCCAAAAATTTAGAATCATCAATAGTATTTCATGCTTCACACAAAATTTCATCACATATTTTTTACAGTAGTGCACTTTCAAGCCCCGAGCCTACACCTCGGATATGGGCGTAACTCGGAGACCATTGCTGGCCCCAATCGAATCCTTGGTCTGGCTTACTTACTCATCAGAATACTTGAAACATTAACACAAAGATTAAGATGCTAACTAACTCAACTATCTGGAACTGAAATCAAAATGTTTTAAATAAACATTTACCTTAGCCAAAGTGGAGATTAATAAAAAAATTATGACGAAAGAACTAACATTTGTGTTACTATCTATGAAGCCTCTAATAACTGAGATAGATGTTGGGACAGAACCCACAACATCTTAATGAACTAAACTAGAAAGCAATGAAAATGAGTCCTCCGAAAAGCAAGGAGACTCACCAACTGACCGTGAATTGATCATTGGATCAAACGGTGCACTGGAATGTCAATCCTAGTTATCTGCATCTGCAACATAATACGATGTTGGCCAACTGATATCAGTACATTGAATGTACGAGTATGCGAGTTGAAGTAGTACAACAACATAGGTTTGAAGGAGATTCTAAAATAAAAACCTACCTTGACTATTCTCAACTCATGAATACTTAACTAAACTTATTTCAATATTAAATAATTTAAAGCAAGTGCATATTCAATAAAAGTTGTTTGAAAACATGTTGTAAACTCTGTGTGTATGCAAAGATACAAAATAAATTTGAGATGTATGTAAAAATACAAAATAGCCTTATGTCAATTTATAATCATATTAAATACATATCATGTTTCCTCTCAAAGTCTACTTGTGCAATGGATAAATGAAGTCTCATACCCCCATTTCATGCTAAGCAAAACCTCTTGAGGAACCATGCAAATATTGTTGTAGGAGTTTCTAAAACATACAATCATAACTTAAGAGCTATAGTGATGATACACCACTTTACCTTGCGCTGCCAGAGACCGACCTGTACCATTCCATCAGTATAGAAAGCTAACTTAACTTAGTGGATCCACTAGCTTAAGTTATGTGATCATCGAAAAAGTATGACCTATTAATACCCATGATGGCTACATGGTTTATGGAGAATTGAGTACTATGAACTCGCTTCCATATATCGATGCTCAATACTACTCCCAAAATATGCTAAACTCATGTGTTTTTAAAATAGCTTTTTTCTTTGGGCTGAGATAGTTGCTCAACACTTGGCTTTAAAAAAAGATCTCTTGGAATCAATGTTCCCTTTTCTTGCTCAAAACTATTTTGGAACTCTTAGTTTTCTTTTTTGTTTGAAATGTGAAAACATTTATAAGCTCTTAGGGAACACTTCCCTTATAACTTTTCAGAAATGAACTCAACTCTTCATTTTTAGCTTAACTTGAAACTTGAGCCTTAAAAACGAAGTTAAAACGTTTGTTAAAGACTTACGAAACTTCTTATAATTATCTTTTCTCTTTGCTCAACTTTATCCTTAAGTCGTAAAATAAAGTTAAAAGTATTTGTAAAAGACTTCTTGAAAGGACAGTGAACTTTCTAGACTTTTCTCTAGATTTTCCTTGAATTTGAAGTTATGAATTCAAGGTTGTAATTCATGTTTCTAGATGATTTCTATATGTTTAAAAGTCATTTAGAGTAGTTGGAATCAATAGGAAGTGTTAAAACACTTTAGAAAGGATTAAACGGACGGAAGAAGGAAAACTGAGTGAAAAAATGACGTTTTGAGCGGGTCTGGGGCGCGTCGTGCCAGCCTCACTTGATTGAGGCACTATTCTGGCGCACTGCTGGTGCGCTTCCCCTGTCCTCTCGGTGCTATGAGGGCGCATCACGCCAATGTGTTCCTTAGGCAAAAATCTGTCGAATTTTTCCTCTCGTTTTCTGACCTTAACTTGTTTAATTCAATTTTTTTTCTCAAATTCACTTTCGATTGATGTACCAACACCATGTACACAAGGATCTAACCCAATGAATTTAAGAACAACACCTATATCATTAAAGAACTCTTTAATCTCAACTCATGTTCAAGAACGAAAGCAACTCAAGGTCAACATTTAAGAACATTCAAAAATCCAATATTTTTAGGATGAAATCACGCTGAATCAAACATACCTGGCACATGGGTGAACGAACCCAATGTTATCTAACCTTTCCTCTCTTCTTCTCTTGCGTTCTTTCTCCAAAACTCTAACCTTTCTTCAAAAGAGTAAAACTGACCAAGTTTAGTTTAGAACCTTAACAATATTATCAAAAAATGAATTTAATTAATTGTATAAGAAAAATACCAAATTACCCTTTTAATTTACGAATTGGACATTTTTTTAATCCAACAGCCCAACTTCCAACTCACTCATCCGAACTCGAAATTTCACAAATTTGACGGCCTTGGAAAGATGTTCTTACGACCTTCCAACCATATCTGGAACTACACCTATCTCATTCTGAGTTAGGAGTTATGGCCGTTTGAAGTTGACCAAAAACTTACTTTTTCCTAACTTAAGAAAGTTTCCTGATTTTGATTCTTTCCAAAACTAAATATTTCAAATTCTGAGCTTTTTCCTAGCAATTTAAATTTACCAGATGTTCAATGCACACACAAAAATAATCATATATTTCATAATAAAAACTAAGAAGTTTCATAATAAATCGAATTAGAGAACTAACCTTGACGGATCTGTTGAAATTCGTCTTCAAACGACTAAAACATTAAATATTTTTCCGGATCTTGCTGCCTTGAGTTGTGAAGGATTCATGTTTGTGGTCATCATCGGAGCTGCTGGTTGGTGTTGTTGTTGTCGTCTTCGTGGAGAGGAGAATGTTTCGGCAAAGCTGCTGCGTGGAGCTGCTGAACGGAGCTCTAGACGAAGCTGGATCGCCTAGTTGCTGGTTGCAGCTGGTGTTCGTTGCTTCGCCGCTGCTACTAGATGGGGCTCGCTTCCTCTTGGTTGGTCTCTCCAGGAAAAGAGGGGTACAAGGGAAGGAGAAGAGGTGAGGAAAGAGAGAGAAGAGACGATGATGCCTCTTGATGGCGGCAATTCGCTTCGCCGGGAAACGATGAAAGAGAGAGGAGGGAGTAGGTTCGATCTGGTCCATTAATTTAATAAGAGATGAAGGATTAGGATTTGATCTAGGATTTAATTTAAGGATGGATGGACGATATTTAAATGGATGGGTCTTGAGAGTTGAATTGAAATAGCCAATACTAACATAAAAATTGCCTAGAATTGAAATGAAAGGTGGCTATAATTAAAATAGAAATTGGAATTGAGGTGGTTAGAATTGAAAGGATTTGAAATAACAGGCTAACATTTGAACGAATTGGAGGATGCTTAAAAAAATGCAATCCAATTAAAATACTGCAAATATTATAATTTTTATATAATTAAAATCACTTAAATTTTAAACATTTGAATAAAATAATTATTTCGTGTTTTACTAATAATTTTAAAAATATTTTGAAAGTATTTATGACAGTTTTATAAATCATGCATACTGAAATGTACAAAAATTTTAGACGAAATTGATTAATATTCTAAACTTGAAATATATTTTAAAATACGTACTTAATCGAGTAGCATTCCAAATGGCTTGAAGGTTGGTCAAAATTGGGTGTCAACAGCTGCCCCTTGATTTCTTGGCTATAAAGAATGAATTTTCGGGCAACCAATGTTGACTTAGTAGCCGATTTTGTCCGACCGAATAGAGATATCACTGGCATCAATTGAAACAATATAAAGTTGGAGAGGGGTACGTACGAGACATTGGTAATAACTTGCCTACATATCTCTGGTTATACGAGAATCAAATCATGTGTAGTTTTAGATTTAGGAACAGATGATCTCCTAAAAATTGAAAAAGCGATAAAATATTTGAAAGGGCACGATATCAGCTTTAATGGATAAGATTAGAGCAGCGAGAAGAGCATCATAGAGTGATTTCTAACTTAAGCAGGAAATACGAGTAGCGAATGTACGAGAGAGTCTTTATTGTGATAAACAAGATAATTAAAGTCGAGAGAGTGATCGATCATGCCTACGAATTCTAAAATGACTAAGCGTCCTATTGTAAGGAAGACAAGCCTAAATGTCATTTTGTAATGCGAACGAGCCTAAATGTCGTTTTGCAAGGCGAACGAGCTTAGATGTCTAATTATAAGGCGGACGATCCTAAATGTCTTATTATAAGGCAGACGAGCTTGAGTTTCATTATTGTAAGGCAGAAAAACTTGGTGTCCTATATTATAAGGAGGACGAGCCTAAATATGGTATTGTAAGGCCGAAGAACCTGACCAAAATATAGTATCTTACAGTAGTGAGTTTATTCCAATAGTAACATCTACAAATCAGTCTGAATGGTAGCTTTGGTCGCCAAGGGTAATGTGAGTAGGAACCTTTTTTACGATAGCCATGTATGCCTTAAAATGGTTTCTCAAAGGGTGAGTGATCTTGTCTATAATATGCACATCTGTAAATTGTAATATGACTAAGTAAAATGATTAGAGAAGATATATCAAATAAACGATAAATGTAAACATGATACAATTTACCATATCGACCATGAATTTTGCCTTAAGACTATGAAAATAATGTCTTAGTCTATGATGTCTAAGGACATGATGGCAAAATTAATTTCTCGGGTCATGAAAAATGATGCCCTTAGACTATGATACCTTCGGATCATGATAAACTGGAATTAAGTCCTTAATCCATGACATGATGTTCGCAGGCCATGAAAGATGATGTTTTTAGACCACAACGCCTCAGGAATTTAAATAATGAGCAAAGAAAGTTTATCCGTAATTCGGGCATCTGTTGATACTTGTGACTTGATTTGAATTTGTTCAGACATATGCAATTCTCCGGCATATGCATTAATGTAATTCTCGGGCACAATGCAATCTTCAAGCACATGCAATTCGAGCACAATGCGATTTCTGGCACATGCGATTGTGGCACATACAATCTTCAGACACAATGCAACCTCAGGCACAATGCAATCTCGGGCACAGGTAATTCAAGTAAAATGCAATCTTAGGCACATGCTATCCACTGGCTTATACAATTCTCAGGCACAATGCAATCTTTCGGCACATGCTATCTCAAGAACTATGCAATTCTTGGGCACATTGAATTATGGACATAATACAATTCTAAAGAAAAATGCAATATCGAGTACAAATGCAACAATGCAACCCTTGAGCACATGCAATCTTTGGACACATGCAATCTTTGAGCACAATGCGATCTCGAGCATAATGCGATTCTCGGTCACAATGCAATATCGGGCAAAGTGCCCAAAATAATGCAACCCTCAGGCACATACAACCTTTGAGAGCATGCCTAATAGTCAATTAAGGGCATAAAAAGTATCTTGGACCTTCGTTTTGTTAGAAGGGTCAAGTGCCATTTTTTGGTGAATTTTGAGTTCATAGTATTTTAGCTTGTTCGTCCGTCCTATAGTAAGATTTATCGTTGAATGAAGATTTTTCCGGTATGATATAGAGTAGCTTAATCCCTCCGTATGATTGGAAGGGGTAGGGTGCCAGTGATTACCAATTTTTTGGGATTAATATAGTGGTACACTAATCCTTAAGCGATATTGAAGATGCTTCTGGAATATGTACCTATATTTTTTGCATTCAAAGAAAAAATAGTTAAAGGGGGGAGGTTGATTTGTATCCCTGATTTGGCATAATATGCTCCTTTTACGTCTACTAGGATATCCTTCAAAGTGTTGTAGAAAATTTTGAGGGGATTGTAGCTTGATTGTTGTGAATTTTTGATATCCTCTAAAAGATTCTGCTACAATCCTAATTTGTGTGGAAAACAATCTTCGGTCTCAAAAATTCTACCCCAGTTACCGATTTGAGAGAAGAAATACTTTTAATGAAATTTTTGAGATCCTCTAACAATTCTACCCCAGTTTTTCATCATTTTTCAAGAAATGTCCTTTTTATGGATGTCACGATCCTAGTCTATACCTTGGACGTGGCTGACATTCAAAAACTATTGTTGGTCACTAAGCGAACCGTCATCCCGGTTGACTACAAGCGGAAGACCAACTTAAGTATGCAAAATCTTAAAATCTGAATAAAACTCATGAAAGTACAAACATTAAACTCAAAAGAAAACTCTGAATAATCAAATTAATATATTCAACTCACCATAAATAGGTAAATTTAGTATTTAAAACATTTAATAAAATAAATGAATGATACAAAAGCTGACTATCTATGAAACCTTTAACTGAGAAAGATGGATGTCATGAAAATACCCATGACATCCTGACTAAATTGAAAAGTAAATGGAATCTTCTCGGATGTATCAACAAAGCTTCTCTTGAAGATCCTGAATACGTGTGTCTGCATTATAAGAAGATACAAGCGAATTGGCTCAGTACATAGAATGTACTAGCATGAAAAGGAAATTCTAAAGCATAAGCTTGATACTTGATTAGAAAAAATGGAAATATACTTACCTCTTCTCAAACTTGAAACTCAAGAATTCTCAATTACTCAACTTACTAAATTCAACATAATCAATAAAAAGATACTCACCTCAAAGATTAAATTGTGAACTCAAAGATATGATACTCAACTATAGATACCCAACTCAATATAAAGCAATAATACACACGTTATAGATAAAAATCTTTATAAAATAGTAAAAACAATTTAGTTCGTTAAAGAAAATGCAATAACAAACTTAATTTTACTTATATAAAAAAATTATATAGTTTCTCTAGGAGATTCTCTAACCGGAAACCACAACTATGAGCGTAAATAGTTATACAACGTCTCACCCAAGCTGCCAAAATTGTCCTATACTTTGCCGTCGCATAGAACTCCTCAACTTAGTAGATCTACTAGCTTAACTTACGTGATCATCTAAAAGGTATGACCCGTTAATACCTATGATGGCTACATACTTTACATGGGACTTGATTTAATATGAATTCTCATCCCCACATCGGTGCCCAATACTACTTTCCAAATATACTTTAGCTCACGTGTCTTTAGAACAACTTCCTACTTTGGGTTGAGACAATTGCTTGACACTTTTCTTTAAAAAGCTCTCTTGGAATCAATGTTCCCTTTCTTACTCAAAACTCTTTTGGAAATCTTAGTTTCCTCTTTAAATTAAATGTAAAAACATTTATAAACTCTTAGCGAATACTTAGTCCCCGTATACTTATTTTAAGAATGGAACCTATATTTTACTCTTTCTGAACTCAGTGCTTAAGTCTTTAAAACAAGTTTAAAACAATTTGTAAAAATACTTCTTAAAATAGGGTTCATGTCAAATTATGAACATGAACGACTCAATTCAAGGTTTTGAATAACCATGCATAGCACTCAATACTTTAACTCAAGAAATCCAGATCTCAAGGAGTCAATGATACTACTCAACTCAATAATGCTTGACTCAGAGGGTTCATGCAGAATTATGACAATAAACTACTTAACTCAATGACTCAAGCTCGACTCAGAGGGTTCATATGGAAGTATGGACATGAACTACTTAACTCAAGGACTTAAAGGGTAACATGTAATATTCCCATGATTAGGAATATAATCATAAAAGGAATAATGAACTCAATACTCAAGACTTGGAATTTGGAGATACTACTCCTTTCAATGATACTCAATTTATGGAGTTCGTCTGAAAGTTATGGGCATGAACAACTCGACTCAAAGGTCTAAGTAACTAGATGGAACTTGTGTATATAAATATTCTCATTCTCTTACTTACTTCCTCAAAACTTAGTTCAAATCAATGATGAATTTAAAAAAATTGACAATTGAACTTAAAGGCTTTCTTGAACTCTACTCTTAACTCTCTCTTAAATATGAACTATGAATTCAAGAGTTATGGTTCATTATATAAAGGATCTAGATGATATTGTAGAATCATGAATACATTCTCCTCACTCTCATGCTCACTTACTTGAGTCTTGAAACAAGTTAGTAGAAGTTGTAGAAGACTCCTCAAAAGGACTCGAAGGGACTCTCTCAAAAGATTCGGAAGAACTCTCAAAACTTAATCTTAACTTTATCTTAAATTTGAATTATTGTTTCAAGGT